ACAAATGCAGAGTTGAGGAGCTGCGGTAGTGTCTTTTCTATCCTACTGCTGACGCGAAAACGTCGATTTCTTGCGTAGACGTAGTTCGGTGTACTCAGGTCTGCCCACCAACGACTCGCGTCGGTCGGTGGAGGCCGTTTTCGAGGTAATTTCCTCCCGGTCGCCCGGCAGCCAGAGAACAATGCTTTGTACCTGGTCTCCGCACAACGGCCGGCGACGGCATTCTCATGATCGACGGCCCGTTCAAAGCGTTTCGTATCTCGGCGGCGTGGTCTTGACCTTGATCTCTGAGGTTAATAGGTGGCGCTCGACAGATTTCCCTTCGTCGCCTTTTTCGGCCAATTATTACTATCCGATTATCGCTGGTCGCTTTCATATCGCCGGCCATTGTTCCTCGCGCCGGGTCGATTTCGCGGAATGCTCCCGGCGCGCATTACCGCAATTGTAGTGCACTCAGCGATACGTCCGTCGATCACCGATCGCCCTCATTGCCTTCACAATAACCGTAAATATTATTGTACCGGTTTGGGTGCTCTGCACCATTGAGGAATACCAGATTTCGGTCGCGTGAGAATCGATAAAGTGGATGAACATGATCTCACTTTAGATCTCATTCACGCCCAGCGCTCAAGTAGCTGTCTTCAATATTCAATATGTAATACAATAGTTAATAGTGAAACCCTTTGAACTATGCAAAGCATAAACGTTGCCTAAAGTCATATTTTACAGTGTTATCGGAAATAAATTACAGCATTCAACGTAACGTTGGTACAGTGACTTTAGAACGGAATTGTGCAAATATGAAAGAATATTATCAGCACAAAGAAGCGATTTTATACGCAGCCAAATATGGTGATTTGTCTGAAGAACGAATATATCGGTTTATCAATTATCATTTAATCGACCTTCTATTGCGCTGCACGTCATATAATCATTTTGATCCTCTGAATATTGGTCTTTGTCTTATTTGTGCCCTGAGGTTTCTGAAAACTTTCCTTAGTAAGACGAATCAGAGGAAAAGACAGAGAGGACGGTGAGTATGTAGTGTCGAAATGATGGTTCATCTTCACACTTATATGTTGCAGCAAATTCTAGCACCCTTGTTTTAATAAAATTTAATGGCGGTGGCGCTGATCAGCCGGAAGTGTACTGTTTATGAAGGAAGATGCTACAGCAGCTGTGTGCCAAAGCATAGTCTGTATTCCCTTGCTTCCTTCCAACTTATTTATCATATTGGTACTCATCTAACAACCTCAAAAGAAAGAAGGGCGTGTGACCCCAACGAGGCTGCAACCCTGGAACTTCTCGGCTCTGAGTCCGATTCTATATCGACCGAGTAACCCCGCTCTAGCGACGTGTGATAAATTTTTTGTTCAACGGAATTCATGGCATATACACAAAGATTGCCCACCGCAGGAGTCGAACACAGTGTCCCCAGAGTTCGAGTTAAGAGCGCACCTCTTACGAGCCTCCTACCTCGCCACTGTTTTGATAACTTCTCAAAACCATACTTTTTGCTGCTTTTCAACGTGACGGGCATAAAATTCGATTGAGGAAAGAAAGGAAACTCTTTAATTATTCAATTTTCAGTTTGTCTGAAATTTTCAATGCTGGAAACTTTTAAAATAATTCGGTTTAGTTGCTTAATTGGAAAAGCTTTATTTATTGCTCTGTGTTAGAGATGCGGCTGCAATCTCTTTTCTTTTCTCTGGACCATGATGGCAGTAATTTATTCATTTTTGAGTTATAATAGGTGTCTGTCATCATAACGATTTTGATCCGTAATTTTTTGACGGATTGCAAATTGTCGAAAAATCATTGAACCCATCTGTTTCCACTGCCATAGGCATGATTCCCAGGTGCCGTTCAAATGTTACTGTTTTTGTGAACTTCATCGGGTCCGCTCATGGCGTTTCACCGTCTATCCGAAGGATTCTCATTCACGATACATGCTTCAATGTTACGCCTTTTTTGTACATTGTTTACTTGGACAAAATTTTTCAGACAGTCAACATTTTTGGTTTTACAATTTGACTCCTACATTTTTCATCGTTGTGCTCCTTCTGCCTCCACCCTTGCCAAATACCTTGGTCATCGGATCGTCCCAACGTGTCGCTGGTAGACCACCGAGACGACTGTTGTCCAGAGGAACCCAGTTAGTGATTATTCACCTCGAACAATTCACGTCTCTTAGGAGAGTCACATAACCGACCCGTGTTTTCTTTTCCACTGACGTCGTATGAGGCAGAAATCACATCCGTCAATCCAGTACGTTGGTCAATTTGTGCACTCAGATTGTGATTGCAATCACTGACCTCGCGCTCCCTCGTTCCTTGCGTGAGAGTCAGGTTGTTCTTTTCAGCTTCGGTAGCAGACCGTTATTCGATGCTGTGGATTATGGCACATAGGACGGTTCAATCGAACAGGTTTTCTTCGCTCTAATGGGCGGCTCAATGCCGATTAGAGATGCCTTGGCTCACTGTCCTTTCTTCTTCTGCCGATTTTTCCATCTAGCATTTCTCCTGACGGCCGAGTTATTCACAGCTGGTGACTTCATCGAGTCACTATTCAGATAGATTTCTCGGAATAGTGCTCTTTCCGCATCTACCTCATCTTAAAGAGATTAACCTTAATTAATTTTAATTCGATGACTAACGATTCTTCGTATTACAACTGCGTTTTCTGTTAGAGGTAGATCATGTCTTGTATTCTGCGTTAGGGTCGAGATTTATCGAGCGATATCAGCATATCATCACGTTACCTTACCCTCATCCAGCCCTGTAGATGGAAGCCATCGTTTTCTCAAGGAATCTACGAATTGCCAAACAGTTACTCAGGGCGTCGCTGAATTCAGGCTATCTATAAAAATATTTTTTTGGTGGACTTTTATCCACACTGAAAAAGGATAATCATGAAATAACTGAACTACCATGCTATCACTTTGAATATGGATCTTATTTTTAGCAACGTTTCATTCATTGATTGCATATCCTCAGTGACATAAGCTTTCATTCCGTGTTTATGACCAGAGAATCTCTAATTGTCTAACCAGAGGAACAATTCGCAAATTCATGGTTTATTGTTTGTGATTAATCTTCTTTCACTGGACGTAGACGATGCGATGGAGATATCTGAATTCTTAAGACACTTTTCAAAATCGTGCCCCCACCATGCCTGGCCGATCTGAGACTGGTGGTTCTTCTGATGGCATGGTTGTGAAGAGCAGAAACGATATTTCACAAATATCAACTTTTCTTGGATTTCTTTATGCATAATAAGCCAGGGAAGGCAATATTTTAACAGTTGACTCCTTGAACAGTATCGCTAGAGAATTCTGTTTCAGAAAAAGTAATAGAAAGTATGCATGCATTAATCAGTATGTTCATCATGAACCTAAAACGAACAATTTACCATCATCATATAATGCCTTGTCCATCCATTGTACAGCAGTCACCTGGCGTCTAAAATATGACATATGTCCATGGATCAGTTAATCAGGGATATTCAACTACCACGAGTGATAACCAAACGGCCAAGTGAGGTATCCAAAAATTTTCTGGAATTTGAAATTTTCACAGGTAACTTCTTGTGATGGACATGGGCCTCTCTGCTAGGTTCGATGCAGCTCATGAATTTTGAGATATGACGATACGCCACGGTCAGAATGATGTGTATCTACCATATAAACCTTCAATTTTTCTTCGTTCATGCTCTTTCAATACCCATTGAATCTGGTTTTAGCCGTCAAGCATCAAAAGACTCAAGTTTCATCATCCCATTTGCCAGCATCTTCATTTCATATAGCGGTTTTTCCAAAACCTCAATTCATCGTTAATCTCTCTACGTGTTGCATATTGCATACTTAAGAAAATCTCAAATATTTCATAAATGAGCTCTGTGAAATATGAAAGAATGACATGGAAACTAGCTCATGCCGTATAAAGTATGGGTTCTTAGCACCATGTTACTGAATGACCAAAATAAGCCATCAGATAACGCGTAGTTGTTAAGGTCAGATTTCACGGCATATTGTACAGCCTCCTTGTTCCTTGTTGCGTGGGGGGGGGGCATTTTAACAGATTCAGGCTCCATGACATTTGATCTCCAGCAGTGCAAGTCGCAGCTTGCATCATTTTGTACGAGTCGCCTGGCGCAAATTATGAACGATATTTTAGAAGCTGATACTCCTTATATGCTGCCCTATTATATAGTAAAATATTCTACCGTTAAAACTGCAGTGATCGTTAGTGCTTTGAGGGCAACGAAGATTTCGTACTCTACATTCACCACATTTTCGAACTTCTGCATGTTACAGTACCTGAGTCGCAACTAATTTTTCTGAACCGTCATATTTAATATTCATTCCTCTGTCTCGACCATCTGCTTTATCCATACTTGTGGTCTTCTGTTTGTTGTTCGAAGGTGACGAATGTGATTTATTCTATTCGCATGAATATTGCTTGTTGGGTATGACTGTTTTTCGATTATGTTCATCTGTATATTCATACACTTTGATTTTTTGGGGGACCGAAGGCATCAGCACAGTGATACTTGTGCTACCAATTGGGCAAGATTTACTGTTTGATGCCAAAGCCCTATAACGTCAGGTGTTCGCGTGAGGATCATGAGTTTCCATTCGTGCGGAAAGAACATCTTCATGCTTTCTGAACCTCTTTATCGCACACTGTTCCTTATGTACTACTGATGGAATAGCCGCATAAAGCTTTCCCAATAAGCCCTACGCCCTATCTTACCTCTATGTTGCAAGGCAAATCTTGATTTTCCCAGTTTCCCAGAAGTAAATCAGCTCAGTTACCTGTGAGACGTGAGCCACTCGCCAAAACTACATCGGTTAACCGCGAATGACGCATCGTTGTTCGAGTTATGAAAGACCATGACTCACTGGTTGACTCGGTTTGAAATTCTCAGCGACGTTTGGATAACCTATTCTATGTTTAATTCATAACTATGCCTTGGAAGAATGAAAGTCCTAATTGATGCAGCAAGTTTTGCTCTGATTGCATTCTTGCAAGGAAAACATTTTGCTGAAAGTCAATTTGACTTCTAGAATTATGGTTTTCTTACATGAAGCCCTCAGTGACTTAAGGTTTGTTTTGTTGACCTTTACGTTTCGAACCTAGGCGCAGTTTCTTCCAGTTTATCGCTGCTGTGAAAGGCAAAGGATCCCACTTTAATTTCTACCCGCAATACCAAACCTGTCTGCTTTAAAGTTGTAGAAGAGTTGTACACTCACTGGTGAATTCCACAATATGCAGAACGGTTAGGCACGGTACTCAGCTCGCGGTGCTGATTGGTAACAATTTATTTAGAAGTTTCCAACTACAACAAATATTATTTTGCAAAGACGAAGTAAAAATTTGCATGAAA